ACTGCGGTTGCGTCGCGGCTGTCGCCTTTGCGCATGTTTCCTTTACGCGCAAGGATATGATGACTCATCCATTCATGTGATGGTACAGATCCCGTATATTGTTTTCATTATCTCATAGCGACATCCAGCGCTCATTTCTTGGTTATTGGTAGGTGCGATATGTTGAAAATCCTTGTCTAGGAGAGTTTGTCTTAAGAGTCCAGTCATTTCCTGTTCCCAAATTTCTGTTAGTGATGAGAATTCAAATTTCTCTCTGCTGCACTCAGATCGTTTCGGGAGGTTACTATGATTTTAAGAATTCAGCAAAGAAGGTCAAACAAAGCCCTCAACTTTCCAGTTGGAATCAAAGAACAAACGTGCAAACAGCCTAGAAACCTATCTTAACGTTACCAGAATTGGCTCGGATCCGCACTTAGAGTACTGTAAGTTTTCTTGCTTTAGTTCCAAGTTTCTGTAATCTAGGAAATCTTTCTGTTGTATTTTCTCGAAAATATATGTTCACAATAACTCAGTGGCCTTCGAAAAGGGAAATCTTTCATAAGCAAGGTGTACATGAATCAGAGCATGTCGTGTGTTGCGTCCCCGACGAAGCGATTGTATTTGGTTGCTAGAAAAAGGGGGTTGTATTTGCTTGAATGTTTCGCATCGGTTAAACACCCTTTTCCCGCTCAACGTCAGTTATTGTGGAAAAAGGGATAGCTAAGAAAAAGATTCTGGTAAATGGTAGGAAGTTAAGGGAACTGGGAGAATTCAGGAAGATGGTAGATATGGGGAATGGGCAAAGGGGGGGGAGGGTCGCTTTAGAGGGGGAAGTCCCGAGGGGGGGTCTTATTCTGCGAAATTTCTCTCCAGTGGCATGACGTGACCTGACATGAACACAACATCAAGGAACAGCAAGCATGGCTGTCCTTTTGGTGAGAAGCAGTGCTGTTTGTGACAGCATATTTGAAGTGACCACCTACATAACAGAAAACGAGCGCTCGTGACCAAGAGCGCAGTGATGACAAGCACGCGCCGCGGCAGCACGCTTAGTTCGACATGTCAGTCTTTTTGATTTCAATAATTCTCTCTTGAAAATATGGGTCTAAGTTGCTTAGTAAAATGATTGCATTGGGAAACATGGTCACAATCTATCAAACCAGAAAGCGGCCACATTGGCGTGAAAATCTTGCATTTCATTTTATTTGGTGTGATGCGGCATATGTTATCCATTTTACGAGATGTACTCTTGACAATTTAGCATCTTTTTTACTTCTTTTACTAAAAGGGAGTTAGTGCTCATTTGTTGCGATTATTTTCACCAATCGTAGATTTCGCTGTTGTAATTCTTGCCTATTTTTGTCAGTGTTTTCAGTTGGAATCGCCGTCATACAGTCCCATTAATCACATAGCTTCTCCGTCTCTAAACCAGTATGTCGGCCAATGTAGCCCTTTCCTCCAGGCATCGGTAAGTTTCTGTGAATTCTGTAGCTCATTTTGTTTATTTCTCAATTATTTTTTTCCAGAACTGACATGGCTACTCTGTTTGATGTTTTTTGTGAGGTTGGGGCTGGCGGTCAAGACGGCCTCCCAGTGATACTAACAAAATATCCGGAAGATTATAACGATGAACACGCGCTAAAAAGTGTTCGGCAATTCAGCTTCCCATGTGGTCTGAAAGAGTACGTATTTCCTGTCATGTTTTACCACTTCGTTTTGGTTGTCATGGTGGTCTGATTCCTGTTATGCGCAGGATTGCATTTTTCACGAAATCCTGAACAGTTGGCCCACCCGTTTTAGCCTTGTTCTCATTCATTCTCGCTCGCGGCTGCTCCAATATCGCAGAGTGCTAGACATCCATTGGCATCTGCAATGAGTTTGGACGCAGGTCGGCTAAGCGACGGTGGATTTTAAGAGCGACCGTGAGGGAAACGATTATTTTCCAAGCCTAGGAGAAAAGCGGCTTCAAGAAATGTAGTGTTTCCTTGTGCATAGTAGAGTTTCGCGTTGCGGCATGAGACTTGCTCCGAGGTCACGCGAACGTCGAGAAATCCTGGATTCTTAGTCTCATTCTTCTCAGTCAAGGGAGAGAGGTGATGGGCTACGCTTGTCCCAATGGATTTTCTTTTTCACTGTTGATTTTCCCTGTTTCATGCCCGTTGCTCCCCCCCCCCCCCTCGGTGGTGCGGTAATATGGGCATTCCTTCTAATGGTTCGTGGTCATGGTCCTCTGTCTCTCAATCGACGGATGTCAATGCGAGGTCGTGTCAAGTGGATAAAATGAAGGGTCTTATTGAGGAAGCACTTTTTCTCGTCGCCGTGCTTAACCGTGCGATTAACAAGAATTTTAATTTTGCTACTTTATTTTCTTTCTGGGTTACTTTGGTGTCTTGCTGACATAGTCCATTGTTTTGGTATTAGTCGATGTCTGATTTTTCTCAGTTTTGAAGTCTATTAAATTAGAGTTTAGTCCGGCAAATTTGAACATAACTGCAGTGTAAGAGTAAATAGTTGCAGAATCGATCGATTCGATTTGTGACGTTGATCACAACTTTCGGGATGCGCCGTGGATTCCTATTCTGTCTAAGATTGCATAGTTGTTTGGGAGGTTTAGTTTGATCTAAGAGCACTGAAAGTGCGACAACGGGATTGTATCACTACTACACACGGAGTCAACCTTGTGGTGGGAGGGTGGGAGTATGTGACAAGAGGATCGTAATTTGCCGCGCTGCTGGGCGTCGCGTGCGACGTCCCGCCCGCAAAGGACGATGGTTTCAGGCAGTAGATGGCGACAACATGCAATTAAGGACCGAAAACAGTGAGTGTCTACGATGACGGGGTCTACATGAAGTCCGGTGCTTCATTCGACAGGTTAAAACGAGTTATGAAAACGCCGCGCCCATCGCCGCGCGTGGCGGTGCGGCGAATTACGATCCTCTTTACCGTCTCCCGGAGGGTGGGTCAAAAACGAACTGAATGGGCCGCCCTGCGACTTGATCCCCTAACTGCTTTTGCTTCGTCCATAAGCTGAATTCGTCAGCTAGGTCCAGACTTTTTTAAGAACTGAGGAGCTATTTACCTATATGCACGTTGAGTCCGCAACATGACACGCGCTGTTCTGGCTATTCAGTTGCAGGTTGAAAGCCATTCTACATTCAACCGTTCTTCAATGAACACAACAGACCATATGTCTCATATAATTTTCAAATTACTGCGCTTTTGTTCATTTTCACTGTGAAATTAATCAAATCTGTCGCAGATGTGAACCAATGCTTTTTGTCACGTATCCTCAATTTAGAGCTGATTCCGACGCGGTCCAGCTGTTCTCCTTTGTTCTAACCGATTCGCAATCTCAATATACATTTGGTTATTGTCGATTTACTCCTAGGAACAATACATGTATCTGCATATTGAGGTAAGCATAGTAGTTCTCTTCTCTTATGGTACACTTTATGATGGTTTTCCAGCGGTTTTTCCTGGCCTGGTGTGTTTTACAAAATTTTGAACCACGTTTCAATTATAATGAATAACGGCACGGTGAGTTTAAGTACCGACTTCTCCTTCCCAGTGCGTAGTCTGTTCACAGCATCCATTTATTATGTGGAATTAATTTCAAACATTTAAGCAAGACGATCTGGACGCTATACTCACACGGATATATCATACGGATATCCCTAATATCGGCGATACGCTCCAGTTCGAATGTCACAATGGAATGCATGTAAGTCCAATTACAAAATTCCAGTGAGGTATTTCTCGGGACTGTTAAATTTTTTGGCATCTCAGTTTAGTGTGAAAAAGGCAATAGGTACCCAGGTACGCTTTCTAGGGATGTTTGTGGTTTTATATTTCCACTTAATTTCGACTTTTGGAGTGTTTTTTATTAGCTGTACACTTCTGTGAAAATCAGTTGACCGCTAATAGGCTTGGGGTTGGCTTTTGGAGAACCAATTGCTTAAATTTGGCATTCCCTCACGCTTACCGCACGCACGGTCCGGGGGTCGAATCCTGGAACGGTTCGTGTCCACTCTACTGATCCCTTTATCCTTCGGGGATGGTAACTTGGGGTATGTCGCAAGAGAATCGTAGTTCGCCACGCCAGTGGGCGTCGCGTGCGACGTCGCGCCTGCTAATGACGACGATTTCAGGTGGTATTGGTCGAGAATAGACAATGTATGACCAAAAATAGACATAAGTGTCTACCATGTCCTTGTCTACATGAAATCCGATGCTTCAATCGAAAGGGTAGTGCAAATTAAGGAAACGTCGCGCCCATTGCCGCGCGCGACGAAGCTGGCCATTTACGATTCTCTTGCCCATCTCCCCTACAGGTCATCGTAGAGACCACATCGCTCCATATGCTCTGCGGATCAATAAATACACATTCCCTGAGCTCGAAGCGTCGCTCATCTTGTACTTTCGCAAAATTTGAACGCTGTTCAAGGCTAGTATCCTATCTCAATCAGAGCTTCTTCAATATCTATTTCCAGGATGTGGGATGACCTGAACAGATGATTATCCGTTTCTTTTTATCAGTAACTGAAATAGTGGTACTTGTAAAAGATCCTCTATCGCTCTGTCATTACATCGCTCGAATTCCGGACTGTGAACGTAGCTAAGCTAGGGTACAACGCGGAGATGGGCGAATCGGCGGTGTCAGTAAACGCGCTCCCTTCTCTAGGGTCTCGGGAAAATTTCTCGCCAGAAATTCCTTACCCGAACAGCCACAACTCCCGATGAGATTCTCCAACGATGATGTGCGCAGAGCCGTGCTGGTATGCCTAGCAATGTTTTCGGTTTACCCTGAAATGGAGGACTTGTGGCAAGGTTATAGTTAGGGATGATAGATGTGAGCTGAATCGTGCCTCGCTGCTCCGATATTTGACGGTTCAGGCATCTGAGAAATGCAGCGATAAAAATTCTGAAGAAGATGTTTCAGCTGAGTCACGGGCTTATATTGATGGCCGACTGGGCATGTGTTGATATATTGTCCGCAAAAACATAATTAAAGAAGACGAAGGCAGCCACTGTAATAGCCGTCGTACCATATGATGTGCATACCAGGTCAGGGCAGGTCGTACGCTGGGGATCCCCAGCGAGGAGAATCGTATGTTGTTGATAGAGCGAGAGAGAGGGGGGTTGCCTCAAAAAAGGTTTGCCTTAAAATGTTTTCGATTGTTGTTGACTTTTCTCGCTTTACACGTGTTTCGGGAAGTCCCTATAACCCCTTGTAGGTCAGCTGGGGGAAATTGCTATCAGATTCAGGATGTTTTCCTTCTACGTGGACTGTTTTAACTGCCAATAAGTTTCAGGCTTTTTCTGTGTTCAACCTACAGTATTGCAACAATCTGTTTTACTTGGCTACTATACCCTCCCCCTCTTCATGGACTTCATGGATTCCTTGTAATAGGCTATTACCTGGGTATGTGGCAAGACAGTTGTAATCCGCCGCATCGCGGGAGACCCGAACAGCGATGTCACCTGCTGCGTGCGGCGTGTGGATAGTTCGTAGCCTCATTCACGATGTTCTTACGGCAGCTATTCTTTTTAGTGACATTCTTAAGTTTCTCTTTAGTAGAATACTTTAGCAAGGAATATTGTGAGTCAGGAGTGTTAGGTTTCTTTCCGCTGTGGAACATGTTGCTCGAACTGCCGCATGAGGCGCGACTGTGCAACAATCTACGATTCTCTTGACTTTCTCCACTATTACCTCCCGAGGCCACGAGATGAGGACTTGTCATGTCATGTATATCACATCTCATGCTTGCTCTCTATTCCTTTTTTCAGCTCTATTCTTTTTTTTCTGTCTTTTTTTTCACATTCTTGTTTGCATTTTTGCCTACAGCGCCCTATAGACTTCTATCTGGCTGTCATTTTCTAGTAAAGGATTTTGTAGCGTACGACCCACCTTCGAATTTTATTCTTCTGCGCGACCCAAGTCCAAAACCTAAATTTTCCAAAACGTTACCGTCGATCAGAAAGAGTGGGCGGCAGGGAGCTTGGATCAGGCACGAGCGAAGGGAGGGGGCGCTAGACAGCCCTCACCGGATAGTATGAAATAAGGGAAAGAGAACAAAGCAAGCAAGAAAGAAGAAAGTTAATAATGTTCTTGGTGGAGATTACGCCCTCCATTGCGTTTCCCACATCAGCGATGTGCTATGCCAGGAAAGACTGCAAATTTTTTGCTTGGACCTGCTGCGGTTCACTACTTATACCTCATGTGAGCTGGACGTGAAAGACATGATTACGACTGTCTCAAAATTAAAATTTCTCATCATAAGTGCAGCCGCCACCATCTTCAAAAGAGTTACGCTGCCGCGCCCTCCTTATTTCCGGGATATGGATGTATGTTGCGTACATACAGTATGGCTGTGAAAGGTTTTCTTCGGTTCGCCAGTAGAACAGGCAGCAACGTTCAGACCCTTTTTAAAAGCTGGTTAGCCCTAGTTGGCTTTTCTTTAATATTCCGACGCTGGAAACGATCTGAATTTATTTTTTTCTTTGGTTTTTCATTGGCAGCTTCTAGAAAAAAAAGCTGTAAGAGGACTTTCTCAAGAAGTACGTTTGTTACAGAAACTTGAGGTAAAGGTTCCCGATGTTACTAAACTGCCCACTCTTCGCGAAGACAAATTCATGTTAGAATTTTATAATGCTGTGTCACCGCGACAAATGTTAGCAATTTATGCAAGGTTAGTTGATTATCTCACTACACTCATTCACTTTATTTTTTTATTTTTTCTATCACTGTTCCGATTCTCAGTTTTCATGATTCACTTCAGTTTGCTCAAAGAACGCCGTATTATATTCACTGGAAGAAAATTGAGCCAATTAAGTTCGTGCATTTATGCGGTGTCCACTCTCCTTTATCCAATGTTCTGGTAAGTTTTTATGTTTGTTGAAAGAAAGATTTCGTCCAATTTCATGAAAAATGAGTGCAAATAAATCCCAACCTAACAGCAGAGCTTTGTTTTCCGTCGAAATGACCGTCTCTCACCACATTTTTTTGAGTGAGCTAACCTTTCCGCTGACCTTGCCGACATCATTATATTTCACTCCTTCTTTGTGGAAATAGAAGCCTTTGCATTCTTCTCTGTTTTCTTTTTCTAAGCAAAATGGTGTGTTTTTACTGGGTAAGGAGCCACTCGGCCACGCCTCTGTGTTTTCCCCCAGCCAAGGTCTTGGCTTAGAGCGCGGACGACCGGAGTCGTCAATAGATAGTGTCGAAGAGAATGCATGTTCACTGAGATAGAGCTTGCTTTGAGGAAGGTCCACAATCACTAGCAAATGCTCCCTTTCCGATCACAAGAGCTTTTTTTTGTCGCGGATGCAAAGTCTTCGAACATCTATCGCGTTGATAAGGATTACTTTCTTGTCTTTCCCTTGGAGTCTTTTGGATACAATTACTGGTTCAGTTTTCTAGGTTGTGGACATACACACATTGTGAACACAGGTTTATACGTCCTTTTCCATTTATCTGTTCAGGCAATCCGTTTTCATACCAGTCTTACCTGAATCTCTACTTGACATGGTCATGGCTCCTATGCCCTTTCTGATCGGTGTTCCAAAGCAAGTAATGGAGGCTAACGTGAGTCTTTCGAAAGTACTAGATATCAGAAGCGCCCGAACCCTATTATACAGATTTGCGGTTGTCGGGATCTTGCATCGGAAAGGTGGCAAACTTGGTTGCCGTGTTAGGGGTAGCAGTTAGCCCTAACCATAAGTCATTTCAGTTATGTGAGGCGTCAAGCATCGTTGCAATTACCTGGATTGAATTAATGCGTTTCAGCAGGGTTTTTTTGAAAATTCAGTTTCTAAAGGCACCTTCTGCTACCACCTAATGAGTTGGGTCGGTGCTGTCGCGGTTTGAGGTAGCAACAGACGTTATCGTTGGACGATAGCAATCCCTCACTTGTCAGGGCGACCCTGATAACAACTGCATTGACAGGCGTCTTAGCACATGTTTTATGGTGTGTCATAACACTTTAGGGACCAGTCCCTATGTCCATACCATTGCTACCACGAACTGCTGTAGCTTCGTGTGTTACTTCAGATGCATAAGGTGCACAGATTCGCAGCCATGCAGAATGTACCATTTTCGCCAAAGTGCGTAACAAAGGCCGTAGGGAATCGCGAAAGCTAGAAATACGAAAGCACTAAAGCTAATTCGAATGCCCATGAACGTTCGACTGCTGCGTGACGTAGCGATCGGTTCCTCATTCTCGTGTGTGCGGCTATGTGGCTGTTTTGGTAACTTGCTGAGTGTCTCTGTGTCTTCCAGCACTAAACCAGACGATGCTTTAGGCGTTTTCGATTGAAGCATTCTGATCTTTGCTCCACATGTAAGTCAAACAGCACCTTCAAATTCATGACCAGGGCTCAATGATTCCGCGGAATGCTTCTAGAAAAGAGCACAGCAGCGAGGACAAAGTTGTCACGTGAAGCACGCTTGAGAGGCTAGGTTTTCCTCTTTCTTCATCAGGTTCACCATTCGCAAAGCTTACTTGGATAACGAGAAACTTACCTGCTCACAACCGCCCGCCCGGATCTCGTCCACTGCCTTTGAAACATGAATCTTCATTCGTTCTTTTTTTCTGAAGACAACAAATTCTAGGTACTGAAAGATCTTGGAGAAGTAGTAATTGTTGATCTCGAAGATAAAACTCTGCAAAGCGCACATAACGATGTGACTGACATTCCAAACGAGGTTCAACTTTCATTTCATCGCTTCTCTTCCTCTCCGTTTTTGGCACTGTATTCTGCTCATTTCCAGGTCGTGATGTTCTTGAAAAGCCAGCTGAAGAATTCATCAGACATGGGAGATTCAATTTCGAGAAGCTTTCTTCGAGCTAATGTCCTACTGTTTGGCGGTTATCGAATGGGTTTCGTGAGGAGCGAATCAACGGGGGTTTGTTAGAGACTCCTTGCTATGATATCATCTTCTTCCAATGATTCATCGCGTGTTTTTTCGTGGTGAGGAAGCAATGACTCCTCATCGCTGTCCTCAGCTGCGCTATTTGGTTTCTCTGACACGCTGTTTCAGGTGGTCCATTGGGATAAGGAGAAATTCGTTCGTGAACAGAGACCATCGTTCCAGCCGTTCTTATCCTCGCTAATTGGAACTGACGGCGTTCAGTATCTTGAAAGGGTAAGGTAATAACATTTCCAGATTGAAGAACAATTTATTACAACCTATTCTCGTTAAGTTCATCGAAGAGCGCACCCGAGCACTCAACAGCGGCCTGCCAATCTCGGACGAATTCGAAACGGAAATCGGGAACATGGACAAACTGAAGTTACAGGTAGCTTATCAGTCATTATCTAACTTGACTGCATCCAATTCGACCCTATTTTCTGGGCCATAAAGCGCACCTTCGCTTTGAGCGCGACGAGTTCATTCCCGCTTTCCTTTTGCGTATCTTTTGTTGGTTTTAACTGATCTATTTTCAATAAACCTTTTAAAACCAATTAGATTGCAAAAATATGCAAAAAGGCTTAAAAAACAGTTTCTGTGTTCAGTGACACTAGTAGCGGAGCGTGCACATTGCCGCGTGCATAGCGACTTTGCGAATAAATGTGCCTGGCGCAGTTTGTCGACGGGGGGGGGGCATTTTGCTTAATGTGTCGACCCATCTAGGTAGCCGTTTCTCGAGTTGACACGTTTTAGGATAGTGGCTAGACGATCTTACTTCAGCTTCACAAGAGTTCACAAGTTTTACCAGAGTGAGATTTGTAAACCGGAACTAGGGAAGCAATGATAATACAAAATGCCCCCCCCCGTCGACAAACAGCCCCAGTGTGCCTTATGCCACAGGAAATAGAGTCCAGGTTTCTTCATACGGTCTATAACGTCGCAATCGGTCGGTGCCATTCAAACAGGGATGAAAAAAACTCACTTGCTGTCTCCACTACTGGTTTTTTTGTCTTCCTGTAGGATCACTAACCGAACAGTATTGGTGAAGCAAGGCAGGGAGGGGGGGCAGCCCACCCCACCCATCTTCAAATCGTCCCGCCCGGTTGCGACGTTATCAACTATACGTGTGAGCGATTAAGATTCGCATCTCCGAAAAGATTTAGAATTTATAGGCGGTAAATCCTGAAGCGATACAACAAGCAATGCAAAGTGTAAGTGTATCATAAATGTAAGCAAGTGGCGCATCTAAAACGTGCGTGTCCTGTCAATATTGCATTCCATCCCTTTAAGTTCATAATTGTGTTGGACCCATTGAAGTGATGTCATTACATTTGTAGTTTGTGGTGAAGCTGCTCTTTTTGGTGCTACTAGTTACTCACATTTTGTGTGAAGTATTAATCATGAAGCTTATTATTTCAGGTGAAGGATAATGCCAGTGACGTAATCGGGGCATTGAAAGATAAAGTGACGGGTATTCAGGTGAGTTAAAGACTTTGAATGTTCAAAACTAGAAGGCCCATGAATGAATGAAGATAAAATGTTACTTCAGTAAACTTCTGTAGTAACTTTGAACAAGGGATCAGATTTGTGTAGGGATCACCCGCGAGCTTCCCCTAACTCTGGCAGAAAGGATCCTCCATGTATATTAGTACACCTTTTTGGTTCATACTTGACACATGGCTCTAGAGTCATGGAACCTTTGCTCCCTCTCCTTAGCACTTTTTACATGTCCCAAGCTAAAGCTATATTTCGCGCCATTTTCGATATACAGTCTCACTAGCACGCTTCGATTATATATTAGCCAGTGCGACAAGCGATTTTCAATGCATTGAAGTTGGAAAAGATGCTATTTCGAAAATTTTGTTTTACTACTTTTCGGCATTCCTGGAGCCGTTCGGTAGAAATGAAGCTCGGTCTAATAATCCAGACATGTGCAGGGCAAAACCTGTCAATGGGGGGGGGTATTTTCTGCAAAATACGACTCCCTCAAAAGGTTCACTCTGGTACGACCCCTCTCCCTTCCCCATTTTATCCATCAACTTCCTAACCTAGCCAAACTTTCCCAACTTCTTACCAATTTCCTGGGTTTTTTTTTTCAAAAATTCCCCCACTTTTTCCCAAAGAAAGAAAGCTAAATGCGCGGTGAGGTATACAGCATATTTGAAACAAGAAAAAACGGCACTATTCAACTATTACTACCCCAGATTTCCGGAAACGGGCCGGATTTTGATCGACTTTTTTCTACGGGGGTGGATTTGGCTGAAAGTTGGGTTCTAGGGGTAATTCGACCTCCTGAACACGAATATCACATCCACTTGGCCTGAAATTGCCTGGCGCCCGCGCCATAGGCGCCAGTGATTTGGGGCATTTTGGCGCCGGCGCCCGTAGCGCGGACGCGGAGCGGTTTGAGGGAATGTGATATTCGTGATTAGGAGGTCAAACTACCCCTAGGTACAAGTTTTCAGCGGATTTCGTGATCTAGGGTACTTTGGCGCCGGCGCCTGTGGCGCGGGCGCCAGGCGGTTTCGAGAGGAGCGGATGTGATATTCGTGTTCAGGAGGTCGAATTACCCCTAGAACCCAACTTTCAGCCAAATCCACCCCCGTAGAAAAAAGTCGATCAAAATCCGGCCCGTTTCCGGAAATCTGGGGTAGTAATAGTTGAATAGTGCCGAAAAAACTGAGAAAGGTTGTCAGCCGTAAACGCTCACAAGGCAAATACGACATCTTCGTTGGGGATTCAAATGTAGGACGTGCCCTGACCCGAAGAAAACAAGCAGAAAACTTTTTCGATGAGATATTTTTTCGTCCTGAACGACTTCCCTGGCTAGCGTTGCATTGAAGGTCGATGCCTCGCGGTTTCAAACCTTAGACCACCAGGGAAATTTCGTAAAGCTCGTTATAGGAACTATTCCTGTGTCACTTTTTTGTATGATAGCCTTACTTCGCAACGTTCCCCTGAACTGACTGTGTAATTACAGCTTATTTGACAGTTCCCGCGATCAAGTGTTACGGGTAGTTAGGGCTCAGTCACGAAGTGGCCCACAAGTAGCTCTGAGAAAGATGCGAAAAAAAACCTCGGGAACACTCCTAAACACAGACCTCCCCTCAGCAGTGGGGCGGCGTCTTGGACGAGTATGTCGGACGTGAAGGACGCGCTCTCCATAGCGATTGGAGCGCAAAGCTTGAGCCGTGGGACCGTGGCGTGAGCGCCAGGCAATTCCTGGCCAAGCGATGCGGTGTTTGGAGGTTGAAGGTCTTGAAGCAAAATTTTTAGCCTTTTTTCGAAAGGGTCAATAGAAAAACTGGTCTGATGTCGGAAGACTGGGATAGTAACAAATAGTGCCCACATCTAATAAAATCATTAGGTGGGACTGGGAAACACACTAACTGCTCCTCCTCTGCGACGAGTGTGGAAGACGAACTACCTTCTTCAGATCACGTCCTTCCCATCGCTTGCAGAGTATGAAACTCAAGAAAGGCTTGCTGCTCTTTTGTTCACATCCTCCTAATTGGAATCGCGCTTGCAAAGACTATGGAACTCTAAAACAGCCTAAGTCGTCTTCAGTTTATGTCCAACGGTGCGAGGTTGCGCTTAATCGCTGGAAAGCGCGAATCACGAAAGATGGCAAAGTGCCAGAAGCGCCGCGCGGGTCTTATAGGAATAGAAGTTTGTGAGCCGTTGTTTCGTACGTGATCCTGTATTCCTATAAGTTACAGTATGATGTCGCACGTGTTGCCACGCTCACGTGTCTCTAACTTCTTTATCTCGCCGTTTTGAGGGACGAAAGTGGTATGTTCTCTGTAAACGCGTATAACAGTTCAAAAGGCACGGAGTCATTTTGAGGACCACTTGATCGCGGGAAAAGTTTTTAACGAACATTCATTCGTCTGCCATCAGTCTCTGCTATTTAGCGATATTATTGGCTGTAATAATAACAAAAATAAAACGGGCTCTCTAGAACCACATACTGTTCCCTACTGATTGATCTCCTAACTTGTATCCCTCTTTCAGATCGGTGCAAAACTGAACAAGTTAACGCCGAAGGAAATTCGCAAACCGAAGAACTGGACATTGAAGAAGGGGTCGAAGGGTGTCGGTTTCGAGCCAATGTCATTTGACAACATCCAGTGGCGTGAGCCAGGGGTGAGGCATAGTTCAGCGATGAGAAGTGAGGGCGAAGGTGCGAGTGGCTATGAGGTCGGCTCTGAATCAGTGCGTTTATGAGGGAATTTTGTGCTTTGAGTGTCGGTCATTATTAGCATGGTTCCTGCAAGTCTAACTGATGATTACAGGCCGATAGTGATTCGTCTAGTGGTTCATCTCCACGTCCAGAGGACTCGTCGAATGTGCCTGTAGCAAACTTGATCGATTTTGATACCCCAATAGAGAACCCCGTTCCTCACGATAATGTAAGTAGAGGACTTTCCGTTCACATATAATCTTTTCTCAATTTTTGATTCTAGATTTCATCAGCAAATTCTCTTTTCCTGGATCTTGGACCATCTCCGTCGTCTACAGTAACTCCACAGAGACCGCAACAAGTTCCGGTGGCAGCTCCAGTTCCAGTTGGGTTGGTGCACTTTTTTTTGCTAGTACACTCTTTCTCGATCAATCCCTTTGTGGGATGCGGCACGCATTCTACTTCCATTCAGAATCGTAGTGGCTTATTGAATGCGATGTGGCCTATACAATGACTTGCGGGGGCCAGCCGATGTACAAGTCAGTGTTTTATCCTCCCAGACGAATCTGGTACCAATTTACCGTCCCCGGAGGGTAGAAGGCTTGGTTGGCCTGGGCGGGAGTCGACCCGGGATTTGAACCCGGCACCGCGCGATGGTGAGCACGCCACTTGTCACCACACCACCTCCGACTCACTTTCAGTGGTGTAAAGACTTTCCCGCTATCAAGTCTTATGGGTAGTAGGTGCTCAGTCATGCACCCGTAATCATGCACCTCTGCGTAACTCCTCAGTCTAAAAAGAAGCAAAAAAATTATGGGAATACCCTGAACAGAGCCCGCTCTTAGCAGTGGGGCCGGCGCCTTGGACGAGTTGAGGTAAAGCCATGAGGCATGAGGACGTAAAGCCATGAGGCATGAGGACAAGTCCCATAAGCAAGATTCTACGCGCTGGCGATTCCCGGTGAGAGCATGTGAAATGGCCTTACGGCACCCAGGCAACGCTATGTACACACGCAATTCCGCTTGTAAGCCGTTGTCTTGCAGAGTGAAAGTAATCGTGGTTGCAATGGTTGCAATAATCACGCGTCTCTAGCTTCTTATCTCGCCGTTTCGAGTGACGAAAGTGGTATATTCTCTGCGAGTGCGGACAACCGATGCCAAATGCACGGAGGCTTTCGCTAATCGCTCGATCACGGGAACTATTCAAGGGAATCGTTGGCGGAAATGTGGAAATACATTGGCGCCGGGCTTTTGTTTAACAATGTTTTTTTTCATGAAGTGAACTTGAGCTCTGTTGGGTTTCAGTCACTCAACGTTCTACACGACCACTATCGATCCCTTTTTCGATCCCTTCAAAACGCCGACGAGTCCCAACGATTCGAGCGCGGCACCGGTCAAACCCAAGAACAAGTGGGAGACCTTTGAATAGAGTTCTATTTATGGGATGCGGGTCCGTCAATATGCGCTAGTATATAATATTGTTTCTTTAATGATGACTAGCTTTATCATAGTATACATATGTAATCGGATGAACAGGTTTGATTTGATTGTCAGTATAACATACGGCGTGAAATGTGGTCCAGTACAGATTGTCCTTCGTTTTTTTTCATATCCGTTATGGTCCTATGGAGATTTCTAGTATTTCGTGAGCAGTGGTGGAGGCGATTATTGTATCATATGATTTGATTTCACTTGAACAGCGCCATATGTGGAGCTACGATTGTCTATTCACTGTTTGATCTAGTCCTAGATTATTATGGCATTTACTGCGTTTAGATTGCTCCATAGCATTTTTTTGGCACGAATGCATAATTAAGATTGTAATCGGCCGGATAAAGAGTCGTGTTTTTTTTGTTGTGACATGGCATTGAAAGTTTCCTAGCTTTTCTTACTCGTCTAGCATTGAATATGTGCATTCATGGTCCTCGCAAACGATAGGGCGTGTGACGGGCGTGGATTGGAATACCCAAAACGGCCTTCTGATCAAAAGTGCCTTTCCGAGTGTGTAACAAGTGGCGGGAAGGGCTGTTCTGGCTGCGATCTAACTTACGCCCCCGTCGCACGCCTTATTGTTTACTGTAACTTCGATCAAATTTTGTTGTGTGGGATGCAGTACCACGAAGAAAATTTCCTGTCTCAAGCGACGCGCAAGTCTTTGACCGGGTAAGCTCACACTCACCCACAAAATCGTCGAAGCATTCATCTACTGAAAGCGTTTCTCAATCAGCAAGGGGTCAGGAGATCCGACTTGCAGCAGCTCGCCCAGAGTAGCGCTTTCCATGTAGCGTTGCGAGTGCGGCACGCCACGTGGAGGATGTAAGAGCTACCGTGCGCTCATGCATGGAAGCTAACGGTGTATTTTCTAGGTAGTTGATTTGACCACTCCCCTACGCCTAAAACCAACTAGGTCTTGGCGCGGATGTCGCACAAGTGAAACGCTCGTGTCGCCGCCTTCTTCGTAACGTGGAATGCTATATCCCCAGACCGCGGGTTCGTATTACCGGCTCCGAATAGCGGCATCACGCGCATTAGTTGAGGGTTGGGTTTGTGAGTGCTCTACCCCACTTGTAACTCCTTATGCCGCGGAATCTTTCACACGACCACAACTGATGAAGTATAGGCTGACACCGTGCCAAACCTGGTCCTGAAACGCCTCAGCGTCCGCAGCGCAAGACTATAGGAGAGCGTTCATACTTAGCGATCTGATCACTTGGATTACGTTAGCGATTCAGTTTATCAGATCGGGTACTATCAAGGTGCATTAACGGTCCATATCCGTCAGCATAGCTATGTTATTTAGGGGCGTGCTGTAGAGTATTGGGAGCATTTGCGGGATCGACGTGTTTTTTTTACGCCTGGTAGGGTTACGATACAATGAATCAACAACCTAGTCTTGTAATCTTATATTCATGCTAATTATTCCGGTAATAACGGACAAGCGCAAAATATTTACTGCTGATCGATTTTCTCGTGAGATGCACCACGTAAACAACTTCCATTCAGGAACGTGGGATTTTCAATACGTGTTTGGTCTACAGACGTGCGCTGCTCAACTCAGTCATAGTCATAGAGGAGTATGATAGACCTCCAGACGACTATGGGTCAGACCCTTGAATCGCCAGTCTCTTGCTCCCGTCTAAGTTCTCTCGACTACATAGGTTCTGTGGCTACTGTGATCACACACGTTCCAGACAGGGCACATCATTAGTTGAGGATTTGAGTCCATACGCCTCCCCCCCTAAAGGTGGCTTGATACGACCCTCCCCCCTAGTTCCCTCCTCGTACGAACGAGCGGGAGCGGTATATACCATATGAAACAGGGGAAACCGCACCACGAAAAGGTTTTCCCAACGCCGCCAATTCCTCTCGAAAAGGAAATACAACCATCCCCCCCCCCCTTCTCCCAACTACGGGCAGATACGATCCTCCCTTCCTGTTGAGGAATCCCCAACGAGGAAGTGCCCTGGTTCTAACTTTTCTTGTGTTGTTGGCAACATCGCAGTCAGTCGGGGGCGATGAGGAGGACAGGATGAGCCCGCGTTGTTCGACCTATAGTGATCGGCTAGTGATCGATTTAGGGAGAAAACAACCAGTAGTAGGAACGCTGCAGGTGGCAACAGTTTGTCCCCTTTGAAATCGACTCAACTGATTGAAATGATACCAACTGTATGATATGTGGAGCTCCGAACAAGCCTACAAAGTAACGTCCATCCAGCTGCCGTTTGTCAGTAAATAACGCCGTTGATGAATTAGGGAACTGCGGAATCCGCTAAAAGGATCAGGTAAAACTCGACCCAAGGGAAGAGCTGACGTACACTCTGTTCGCTGCAGATGAAAGGGCGTGTCAGGCGCGATGAGCTTGGACGCCGCTCCAAACCCGCGGTTTACGTACAACAGTCCTCCCAATCGGGCATCTTTCTGTTTTTTCCTCTACGCTTTCAACGTCTACCATAACCATCTTCTTACCTCGTGACCTCAAATGGAATTGAACTTCTCATGTTTGATGAGTGGCTCATCCACCCCGGAGGTCTCTCCCTACGAAAAAGCTTCATCCCCTGGCTCGCGACGTGTTTTCTGTTCATTTCGATGCTTCTTTAGCAAGCCACGTATTATATTCTCTGCGCTCTGGCGTTTAGCGCCAGGGCCCACACCGAAAGTTTTAGTTGTCACGTGACCTTGTCCCCAGCTATCAAAGAGAGCAAGCGTTAAGACCGTATCATGTTGTTCGTATAAGTCATTCTCCACCAGTTGTCTCGCTTATCCGCTATAGCAACAGATGGAGAACGGGTTTGACGCGGCGCCAATCCATCTCGCTGCACGCCTTACATCCGCCAGCGACAATAAGGCAGTAGACTGTTCCTATGTAGTCCTGCTGGTGTTCCAATCCAGCGATTCAGCAGTTAGGCGCCGTGTGCAAACTACTTTCTCGACCGTGCGCTGAGTATAACATCGTTGTGAGAACCCCGCCAGGAGGCCATACTTGTCGTTGGTGAGGGGTCGTTGGGAGAGAAGAACTTAGATACAAAACGAGCATTTTCGGACAGCGGGCGAGCGGTCGCGTCGCGTGCCATTGCATGGCGGACGTGTTGAATCCAGGGCGCAGCGTTCGATGGGGATTCCCCCACCCCAACCCCTTGACAACCTTTTCGCCGAGTATAAACCACAACCACACTCAGCCAATCCAGGCCATGGGGGCCGGGTCGCTACCAGCCTCCTTGAAAAAAGGGGCGGAAAAGCTCGACCAAAATCCCCACTCGAATGGTCTGTGCCTGGTTGAATATGGCGCGAGGGAGGAGATTTCATGTGAAAATTGGAAGTTGAAACATGCAGTGTTTGTTAGATTGGAAGGTGAATGAGTAGTTCCACTTATGTTCCTTTCTCCGTTCGCAGACCGTTCATGGAGTCACTTGGACATGAGTAAATCTATTGCAGCTACAATCGTAGACACACTCACTCAGCTATTCAATAAGAAGCGTACACGGATTCTAAAGCCCCTGTCGTACGGAACCTTATGTCGGGTTTTTTTTCTGAGTTTTTAGAATCCTTCATGAGCAAAGATAGAAATTTCGAAGACATAAATCTAGTGCGACAGGGTTAATGGGTACTTCAGAAGGGTGAAGTGCTAGCAAAGGAGGTGCGCGGTAGTTCACTTTAGGACTGAAGGCAAAGATGAAAATATCTTTATCTCCATGTGATAACAAGAATCCTAGAAACACCAATGCTAGAGCAACTGAGTGGGTGCAATAGGATAACTGTTCCACATAGGTGCATTTGAAGTATGTACAAGTTCCAGAAAATATGTTTTGTGTTGTAGCACAGACATTCGTGATGTGGCGCCCTAAACAAGTTTGGGTGTGATCGCAATTTTCTTTTGGATTCGAGGATAAACTGAGCGTTACGGTTAACAACGTGGATAAAGAAGTGTCTGTGGTAGGAATTCTGAGATTCCAGAAAACTAGAAGGAAGTCCTGTAAAATCCCCCAATTTGAAGTATGTTCCAGGGTTTCATAGCTCTTGATTGTATCATTTCCTACAAATCAAATGATGTTCTCGCTCCTACGAATGTCTCGTGTATCGTGAACCTAATCGCGAGGATAACGCTTCCCAGTGCAATGACCGCGACGCGACCGCTCGCCCGCTGTCCGAAAATGTTCGTTTGGCATTTAAGTTCTTCTCGTTGAGAGTTGTATTTAATCTGTCCTGACAAAAATTCCTCGCGTCACGAGAATACCTTTGGAAACTGGAAAAGTGCTAGAAAGTTGCCAAAACCGGGGAAGATGGTAGGTAGAGGGAAGCGGGTGGAGGGGGGTCTACAAGATGAGGAAGTATAGCAGTGATCGCACTGACACCACCATTCCTTCCATTATTGTATCGTGAGCGAGCGCGTTTCGCAATTTTCTAACTCCAACGCGGCGAGCAACACGAGTTCAGCTTGCCCTTTAGCGCCTTTTGCAGCTTTGCGAGAATAATTTCACAACTTCCATTATTCATAATTTATCTTACTTTTGAGAATAGCTAAGCCCGTTAAGTAGTACAGTTTAATCTCATACGAAGAACAGTGTTATAAGGGTAGCTTAGGCTATTTTTTGGTTCTTTGTGTGTGCTGTAGAGAATGTGCAACTGAGTCATTCGTTTCTTGCGAAGCAGCCTTCATAAATGGTTTTCCTTTATCAGTCAGCATTTACTTTGTAAGGGTATCGGGTATTGCTCTTTGTTCTCCGCAAAGGAATCGTAGCAGTGCAGTGATAAAGTGGCCCGATGTTTACGCGTTGTTTTCATTTGTGAGGTGGTAAACAAAGACGGAAAGGCGTGGTCTGGAGTGTATAGAGGACAGGAACTCCTCTGGATCTCTCTCGGCCCAGTCACGTGACTATTGCATTTTCCAAGCGAACTCTTGCACTAGAATTCCTTTTACTGTTCAAATCTGCCATTTTTGACTTCGCGGAGTAAATATAAAGGCTAGAAAGACTCAAAGAAATTTCTAAAACCTGAAAGCGCTGATTATTTCTCCCCTAAATTTCCTTGTTCTGTTCTTTACACTTTTTAATAAACTCGTGAAATGAGATAACTTTTCGTGGAAACTTGTTAATTATTGCAATCGATCGATTTGCTTCCACAGCATGGGTGATGATATCAACAGCGAAAGCACAAGCACTATTGGTGACGACTGGTGAGTTCGATGAGAATGTTGTTTTTTTTTTCTTTTGGAAACTTCAACCAAGCTTTATGGGCCATTTTCCAATCGAAACCTTTTTTTCTAAGGGTGAAAGAAAGCGATTTTTCAATTTCGTCACTGCCAACAGATTGTAATAAAGAGATGGTATCAAGTTCGAGTATTGTATCTTTTGCTAGCGATCCTGAAAGTAAAAAACTCCTTTGGGTGGTAAGTCTCTTCTGAAATTCCATTTCCATTTAGCTTTCATAATTCTACTGGTATTTAGCGTCTCCTTGGCGTAGTGAATCGCCCAAATCCGTTGGATGATTGGGACCAGCTCTACAATTTGAACAACCAAGTCGGTCTTAGAAATGGTGAGGAACTTTTATAAGCAGTGTGAGATTATTCGGTGGAAAATTTTATAAGCAGTGTGAGCTTATTCCTTGGTTTGGTTGATGTGTTGCAAATGGGAAATGCTGACATCAGCATTCAATTTCTATATTTTATCAGGTTAGTCCGGCTAAGAGCGAGCTTCATTTAGGAAATCTTTAGCGGAGTAAGGACGCGCTGGAACTTTTGCATGCAGTGTATCTGGCCCCGTTCTTGTTAACAAAAATTACCCCCGATATCGAAATTATTGGATACCACAGTATCGGTCGTATTTCATACCACCTTTGATTGGAAGATTGAGTTTACCTCCGAACTCTAACAAGTCAGCATTTGTAGTATAAGGGGGTGAACACTCAACAGATACTAGGCAATCATAGATACCGCGGTGGAGGGTTCCGGGCAAAGTGGGTGGTCAACACACCTTGCCAATTCATTTTTCACTAAGCCAGTGGGCGCGATGGTTCAGGGGGGGATTACCGATAACGCCATTCGTGGAAGAGCTGGGAGGAGTTTGCGATGTTGTGGAGGGAGAGGGCTACTCAGAACTTCATTAGAGTAAGGGCTGGGAGGGTCTTCTGGTCACACCCGCTCGGCCCTCCATCAATGATGTTTCCTGTAAGCGCCCCCCCCCCCCCGTCATCCTCACTGCCTTTAATGCTCACCCCTAGCTTCTGCTTTACATGTCTGTGTTTATTAAGTAACAGTACGGCTTCTACAAACTGCTTGATATGAAGTCATGCATGATTAGTGAGGCGGGCGAGGACAGACGGGGCCGTTTGGGTTTCCGTTTCCAATTTTTTTCTTTGCAGCTCTGGTATCGTAACTTAACAAACGTGGAGAGTTTCTTGAAAATCGAGCAAATATGAAAAAAAAGAAAGAAAAAGCGCGTGTAATTTTGCAGAACGTGCACAGCGCTCAAAGCGATGGGATAACTAATGTCCCAGCACATTGGGTTTTGTGGTGTGTTGAGCAGGTTATGACATGGAAAAGATTTTGGGTGATTTCCGCTGACTTTTACCGAGTTCTGAGAAAATTGCATTGCAGGAGGGGAGAGGGAAGCCTAATTTTCCTTTTTCTCTTTTTCGAGCTTAATCTTGACTGGTATGAGGTATCTGTAGGTTTTATTTTCAGATTGCCGAAAACTAGCGAAATTGTTGGACAACAAAAAGTCTGTGCCAGAGCTGGAATCATTTATGACATTGTACTGCAAGAAGCGCAATGTTGACTACAAGAAGGACAGCGGATGGATAGTGGTGAGCTTTTTTTGAGCGCATGCATCAAAGAAGGTAACCCTGTTTGGCCTGAGAGAAAATTTTCCGATTTTTTTGATTACCATAGTTACACCTCTCTCTCACCTCTCTCTCTCCCCTGTATCCTGGCAAAACTATTATCTGACTGTTGGTCGGAAATGTCTATGCTCTGTCGACGGGGAAGCTTTGAGGGGGTTGGGTAAGGTGGTAGGTAGGCTGTGAAGGAAGTTTCAGCTTCCTTTGCTGGGCCGTACTGAGATCATTTTTTGTGGGGGGGGGGGGTGTCGCACTGAGACCACCGTTTCACTCGCCCCGATGATGTCCCCTGTTATAGATTGTTTTGATCATCCTCATGGGCCCATTTAGTTACGGTACTTACAGGTGTTAGAGAAAATCCTGAAGTTCGATTTGCCTCAGGAGCATCTTTTCAATGTGTTCTTCGCATTCACAACCAAATACATTCCAAAGTAAGCAACCTTCTCATACGGCTGACTTTCACGTACAGAGTTTTGTAACTTTTTGTAGGGAAACCAAGGAAAACGCTCAAATATACGATCTGTTCCGACTTTTGCTACAGTATCATGACCCTGTCATAAGGTTCGTTTTCACGTTAAGTTTTCTGCTCAGCCGAGAATAAAAATTGAGTGAGTTGTTCAGTTCTCACTTGGACTCGTTGAAATGTACGCCTTATTCCTATGCAAGCCAATGGTTTTCTACCGTTCTGGCGTCTAGCGTTGATGATGGTGTATGTAGAATTTTGTGGGAACTCTATATTGAAAAGGTTGGTTCTTTTCTGTTGCGATTGTTAAATGTTGTGAACGTTCTCAAAAATGAATTTGTTTGCAGGGTGACCCATTCCTTATCTTCTACATGGCTTTGGTTTTGATTATAAACAGTAGGGATGAGTTACTTGGAATTGGATTCAATAGACGGTGAGAAGATTTTCAAGCATCTTTCTATGGTCCGTCTTCGAATTTATCTGTATTTCAGCGATGAAGCGCACAAAGTGCTGTCTTTATTGCCGAATCAGCTGACGATCGATGATGTCCCGGATTTTGTTCAGCTGTCTGCATACTACGCCGATCGCACTCCTCAGTGCGTTCGTGAGGTTTGTCAATATTTTGACTTGAAGGCACTGCACAATTACATGACAGTGAACTCTTTCTGTATTTGTGAGGCGCTGGTCCATAGCAGTAGAAATGAAGCACTCCTGCCACTTGAAGGTGTGCGGCAATGAAGCTGAAAGTTCATGATGGTTTGATGATCCTTACAGTTGTCCGGAAAATTCTCAGCGTTTTGTGTTACTATTTTTTGTACATTCATTGCTGATTAAAAACTCATTCTCCCTTGCGTCTCAGTAGTACATCCTGAAGAGAATTTTTTGCGCTATCTGATGGTATAATTGCCGTTTCACCATTGCTTGATAAACCCCCTTTTCCCAAGACTTTTTGAAGCATGTCAAAAGCAACTTCGGACGATATTTTTCTTCAACTACAAATTGGGTCAATCCGCAGTCGAGACAGCTCGACAAATTAACCAGGCCCAATAGTGTTGGAGAAAGCACCGTGCGACAATGGTTCGACAAATTTCGTTCTGGAGATTTCAGCCTTGAAACCTCGTAGCGGTCGACCTAAAGCAATACCTGAGGATTTGAAGGCAGGGTACAGCATCGTTGTGTCAAACCCATGGGAGGGGGCTCGTCCTTTGCTCTGGTACGTTGCATAGTTATTGTATACCCCCCCCCCCCCCGCTCGACAACTTTTTCGCCGACTATATACTCATCGCTTGTCGTCGGCGAGAAAAAGCCGTGGAGGTGGAGGGGGGGGGTCGTAACAGGACCCTCTTCGAGGTGGGGGTCGTACTCACACCGACATTTCGCACATCCCCATGCTGTACCCTGTTTGAAGGTGTTTGTGGAGGCTGACCCAATCCCAGGTTCGAGAGATTGCAGAAAAGCTAGGCGTTGGCAAATCCACTGTTGCGGATGGTCTGAAACGCATTGGGAAGGTGAAAAAACTCGACAAGTGGGTGCCCCACAATTTGAGTGACCGGCAGAAATTGGCACGTCTCGAGGTTTCTTCTTCACTGCTTTTGCGCAACAGAAACGACCCGTTTTTGGACCGAATTGTCACCTGTGATGAAAAGTGGATCATGTATGATAACAGGAGACGTTCCGGACAGTGGTTGGATGCCGACGAACCACCGAGGCAATTTCCAAAGCCGAATCCTCACGAAAAAAAGGTCACAGTGTGGTGGTCATCGGCTGGTGTGATCCACTATAACTTTTTGTCACCAGGCCAAACCATCACAGCAGAGTCCTACTGTGAAGAAATCGACGAAATGTACCGAAAATTGCGTCAGCAGCCAGCACTTGTCAACAGAAAGGGTCCGATTCTTTTGCATGACAACGCCCGCCCACACGTTTCACAAATCACTATCCATAAATTGAACGAATTGGGGGTTGAAGTTCTACCTCACCCGCCATATTCTCCAGACCTTTCACCAACCGACTATCACCTTTTCAAACATTTTCAGAACTTCCTTGCTGGAAAATACTTCATCAATCAGGACCAGGCAAAAAAGCCTTCGTGGATTTCGTGGATTCTCGACCACCCAGTTTTTTCTTTGATGGGATTCGAACGGTGCCTATTTCGATTAAATCCGATGAGTATTAAGAAAGTTATGATCGTTTAAAGTGAAACACTCAAAACGCTGAGAACTTTCCGGACAACCTAATATCTACGCCCATCGTCCTATTCGCCACACGAAATGGCCACGCTATACGCCATACGCCCAGCCGTGTGCCTAGCTATACACCCCTATGCGTTACTTGTCTTACCACTATGCGCCATAGGCCCAGCAATTGGCCTAACCACTAGTCAGTGTAAGGTATTTGTTTCAAGCTCTTACTTATGGCTGGGCTGCCATTATTTCTTAACCGTCGACGTGGCCACCATGTCTGCACGTTCGGTGCTGGAGCTGTCGCCCTGGATTGAACATTTTTGCACGATAAGTTGAGCTGTAGGTGATAACGACCATATGGCGTGTCTGCGGCGTGTATTGCGTAACGAATGGCGGGTGAAAACTTGAGGCAAGCTATCACCAGCCTCTTGCTCTATTTGCATTGACGGGACTACAACAAATTTACGGCTTCAGACCGGCCCACCTCGCATACTAAAAAGGTCCACCTTTTGATAATCGCAGCGTGCCCTCAAGAAATATCTCAAATGAACTAATGTACGTATCGTTATCAGGATTTCCACTACTTAATATTTGGTTCCAATTATGATGATGAAGTTGGAGAAATGCAAGTAAGCAAACTGTTGTGCTTACCCGTGACCATTCAAGAGCTTACGAGACGCGAACGTAGCGCTGTAGCGGTAAGTAGTTCGTAGTTTTACGCATATATTGGCTTTGTTGCAACATAGCCTTCTAAGCAGACGTTTTCTGTTCAAATGTGTTCTATTGTTGTAACAAATTAATCCTAATTTTTAAGACATCAAATATAACCTATTTTGTTATTGACTGCCGCTCGAACGAGGCTTATAACAGTGGACACATCTACGGTTCATTCAATTTGGACTGCAGACTGGTTAGTTGTGCTATCTGTTAATTTATTTGGTTGCTACCTTGTGCTGTGGGATTGTAGTTCAGTCATCCGATTCGCGGCGAGGGCGGCACAGAAAGCCAAAGTGGTAGTTATATCTCTTCGAGCTTTAATAAAAGCTCGAAGCTATCGGAATGCTCTGCCGTATTAGGCCTGCGTTTCGGCGTTTCCTCTTCGCCAGAGCCTGGAAATGGGTAAAAAAAGCACATGAGACGTGCTTGCCCGAACGCTGCTACCATTCTCAATACTATTTAAAGGCAGTTGGCACGACGGTTCCCTACTTAGCCTAAAATGCTAGTAGGGTATAGTGGGGAAATGGCGAAAGAACGGAGTGAAACGGTCAAAATCCTGCGAAGAAAAAGCCTCCGTTCTCAGTGACTTGTAAATCGATTTCGGACGAGTTTCCCAGGCATCTTACCAATCACCGCTACCGAAGATACGGCTGCATATGTGTACCCATGTATGCATGCAGCATCACGGCCGCTTCATACCAATCCCTTCGCTTCATAATTTGCTTAGCAAATGAATGAATAGAGCGTCAGGAACGGTCGTCCATTTGTGGGCGGGCGGGCGTTTGGGACGTAAAGTTGTGGCTTGATAGGGCCCTTATAAGGGCACCTTCCTCGGGGAAACCGCTATGCAGCGCCTGCCCAGGGTCGCGGAATTCTATCCTGCCAGGAGTATTGATCCTAGTCGTCTTGGGGGATTTATCGTGCCAACTGCCTTTAAGTGGTCTAATAGAGCATTCAACAGCAACGATCGACATAGTGTGGCTCCCCTTGTTCTCTGACGTCGCTTGTGCTGTGTCGACCACAAATTGTCCTAAAGACTGTTGAAGGCACGGTTCGCGATAGGGAGGGTAGATAGAGGTGTTGAAACATGGAAGAGAACAGCTGGAAGGTGAAGAAGGTGGAAGGTAAACCTCAAGGGCGAGGGCGGAGTCCCTGGGAAGAGGGAGTGTCAGCGGAGCAACTTTTCGCCTTCGCACCTTTTCCTTTCAACCTTGAGCCCAGGACATGGTGCAGTTGTCCAGAGCGGACCAAATTTCATCGTGGACCATTCTTTTGAATTGTGAAGTCGGAATGTGAATGTGAGTTGGGTGTCTCACGAGTTTGTTGTTTGTTTCAGGCTCTGGCGAGCGCAATGGCGTAGAAAGGTAGTCCTAATAAAATCGTTGCAAACTCATAAAGGCTAGAAGGTGCACGAAGGCGGTTAATGAGTCTTTGTAAATAATAAATGAAAACAAGTAAGCCCATTTCCTCGCCAACATTAATCAACTTGACGCCGCAGCCCTGCCGTGTGTTCAGTCAACTAACTAGGGAATAATCTGCTAGTTTGCCTGTGCTGCC